GCAAGCAAATAAACTTTCCCCAATTGCAGTGAGGAAAATGAAGAAATCCCCAGGCTGGAGAGGGAGGTCCGCGCCCGGCCCTTCTCCGCGGGGCGGGAGGCTCTCCCAGAATGGAAGCGGCCCAGCCGGCGGGGTTAAAATTAGCGCGGCGCGTCGTCCCGGCGCAGCTGCCCCGTCCCGTCTTGTGTCCCCTGACGCGCCCCCCTCGACGGCTCTCTGCTCTGGCCGCCCGGAGAGGGAGCGGGGCGGCGGCGGGGGCAGGCGAGCGCTCGGGCGAGCCGGTCCCGGCCACCTCACAGAGGCCGGACAGCGACACAGCCGGACCGGCCGGCGGTGGCTCCAGACGACGCTCCGTCGGGCGACACGGCAACCCGTCCGACGGCCACCAGTTGGTGAGTATCGTCTGCCGCCGTGCGGGCTGGGAGTTCGTCTCCAGCCCCGCTCCCTCCGACTAGCGGGGGGCTTCTGCTGGGCCTGGCGGGCGCGGGACGGGCGCGGGCGGTTCACAAGCGCGCATCTCTGGCCCGGCGGGTTCCGACCTGGGTTTGGGCGGAGAGCGGCGGCGGGGGGGGGCTGGGCTTGCGGGGGACCCCCAAACTGACTGCAACTTCAAAGGGAGACGGCAGCCTGGCTCAAGCCGCCGCCCCTTCACCTGCACCGATTTGGCCCCTTAGCCTCTGAGTTCTCCCATCGTCCCCCAAATGGGTTGAATCCTCAGATTGGCCAGAAGAGCTTCTGCCCCACGATCCCATTAAAGGTAGAACGAGGCAAAGTTAACCGATGTGAAGGCATTTATTGCATGAGGTGGGATTCTCTGAACAGATTTTCTCCCCCTCTTAAGTTTCCACGAGGGCTTCGTCGTCTGCTTGTTTTTCCAGCCAGGTCGGGATTCTGCCTCTTGTCTGGATTGCACCTGTTGAACAGAAGGCTGGATCACAGCAAATGCCCTGTCTTTTAGTTGACCTCTTGCCCTTCCTTAGGGTTGAGCAGTTGTGGTTTGCAAGTGATAGCTTTCAGCATAAAGCACTATGCAAGCCTAGTTACAGGTGGTCCTTGACTTGCCTTCAAAGTTATAACAGCACTGAAAAAAATGACACAGCAACCCCAGAATCCGAACGCTTGCCAATGACGGTTGCAGCATCCTGGGGTCATGTGATCCCCTGACAAGCAAAGTCAATGAGGAAGGCAGACTCACTTAACAACCATGTAACTACAAGTAGTCCTTGACTTACGACCACAATTGAGCCCCAATTGTGGTTGTAGGTCAAGGACTATCTGTATTCAGCAAATCCATGATTAGGCAAAGCACCATGATCATAATAAGTGAATCTATCCCATCTATGGAGGCTTGATGTGGTCACCATCTCCCCAGCCTCATGCCATCACTCCTTGCCTTCAACTCTCCTTGTTCTTTCAAACCTTTCCCTGCTTCCTCTGGTGCCCTGTGACCATCATCCCATTATGCCACATAAATGGTGAGTTGTGCAGCTCCAGTCCACACAGGTGCACGCACTGGGCCCTACCGTAGATATGGAAACATTGCTAAATGAGGACCCAGATTGTTGGGGGCAATATGCTGACTCTCTGTAAACCGCTTAGAGAGGGCTGAAAGCCCTATGAAGCGGTATATAAGTCTACTGCTATTGCTAAATTAGACAGGAGTAAAACGGACAAGAATCCAGTTCTAAAGTGTTAAACACGTTTTACTTGCAGAATCCTCAGATTAACTGATTGCATTTCAAAAATGCTGACGTTGAAATATGAACATGAAAAAATACTCATCTGTATTTTGCTGTTCAGCTAAGAAACAACATGCCTGAATTTTCTGCACTGTGCTTCTGAGTTTAAGAACTATCAATTTCCCAAGACCACGAGAGATCTTTGTGGATGATCTTTGTGGATGAACAGGGATTTGTTTATCAGAAATTTTGTCCTATCCAGCATCTTTAGCTTTGGTAATATTGAATAACTTGTAAAATGTTAGAGGCTAGAATCACTGGAATTACCAAAATGTAATATAGAATAATATAAATAATAGAGTTGGAAGGGACCTTGGAGGGTCTTCTAGTCCAACCCCTGCTCAAGCAGGAGGCTCTATCATTTCAGACAAGTGGCTGTCCAGTCTCTTCTTAAAAGCCTTCAGTGATGGAGCACCCACAATTTCTGAAGGCAACTTCTGTTCCACTGGTTAATTGCTCTCACTGTCAGGAAATTTCTCCTTAGTTTTAGGTTGCTTCTCTCCTTGATTAGTTTCCATCCATTGCTTCTTGTCCTGCCTTTTGGTGCTTTGGAAAATAGGTTGACCCCCCCTCTTCTTTGTGGGAGCCCCTCAAATATTGGAACACCGCTGGCATGTCACCCTTAGTTTTTCTTTTCACTAGACTAGACATACCCAATTCTTGCAACTATTTTTCATGTTTTAGTCTCTAGGCCCTTAGTCAACTTAGTTGCTCTTTTTTTAAATAATGGGATGACTAATATTGGATGCAATATTCCAAGTGTGGTCCTATGAAGGTTTTATAAAGTGGTACTAACACTTCACATGATCTTGTTTCTTATCCCTCTTATGCAGTCTATGATTGCATTGGCTTTTTTGGCTGCTGCCGCACACTGCTGGCTCATATTACAGTGCAGGGGTGAAATTCAGCCGGTTCTGACAGAACCAGTAGAGGAAATTTTGAGTAGTTTGGAAAACCGGCAAATACTCCCTCTGACTGGTCCCAGAGTGGGGAGGGAATGGGGATTTTGCAGTATCCTTCCCCTGTCATGCCCATCAAGCCATTCCACACCCACCAAGCCACGCCCACAGAACCAGTAGTAAAAAAAAATGAATTTCCCCACTGTTTCAGTGATTGTCCACTATGACTCCAAGTTCCCTCTCATATGCTGCTTTTTGCACTTAATCTGTACTTGTACATTTGGTTCTTCTTGTCTAAAATTCCTCTGTTGTTCCCAGAGAGATTGAAGCAAGCATATTTTATTGCTACACAAAATTTGGCTTCTATTCTGTGGCTCAGAATAGATGTTTTTCCAGGTACAGGTCATCCTTGGCTTACAACCACAACTGGAACCAGAACTTCCATTGCTAAGTTGGTTAAGTGAATTACGCCTGATTTTGTTATCTTTTTTTGCCATGGTCATTAAGCAAATCACCACAGTCATTAAAGGAAGTGCATGATTGTTAAATGAATCCAGCTCCCCCATTGACTTGCTTGTTGGAAGCCCTCTGGGAAGGTTACAAACGGTGATGAGAACTTGACTCCAGAATGCTGCAACCAGTGTCAGTCCTTGGGGGGACACTGCAACTGTTAAGGACTGGTTATAAGTCTTGTTTTTCAATCTTTTCACAACAGGTTGAGGACTATCAGTACACTCAGCTGCTTATCCCCCCATCCCATCCCATCCCATCCCATCTCCAAGAACTGGATCTTTCCTCAGGCAAAAAGAATTACACCCAAATCAAACATGGCACTCATGGTCCTCCTTTTGATTAAACCAAACCTACCCAATTCCTGCAACTAAGAGCCAAGGTGGCGCAGTGGTTAAATGCAGCACTGCAGGCTACTGCTAGATCAGCAG